GGGAGGGAGGGAGCTGCGGCTAGCACTATCTTCAGGGATTTCTGTAATATGAGGTCTACCACCGAACTAGGTCTTATTTTCGGGGTAGGTCTTATATTACAGAAACCCCTGAAGATAGTGCTAGGTATTATTTTCGGGGTAGGTCTTACTTTCGGGGAAACACGGTATACTGCAGATATCTGATCTGATGGAGGGACTGTAGATATAGTTCAGTATGTTCAAAGGTTGCAGTTCGTGACTATATACAGCCCACAAATGCTCACATGTACAGTAGCCGCTTCCACACTTGCCAGATTATTAGTCTGTAATAATGTAAACATGGTTTTTTTCTCTTTATTTACTCACTGCAAATAAAGTAACAAAGATGAGGTGTACAGTAGAAAGGAAGAATTTTGAGCCATTCCAGGTTGGTTACTATGTTAGCAGAGCCAAGTTAAGTTTACTCTAATTAATCCTGTCTGTACCGTGCTGGCAGATTTCATCAGTTGTAATTTAGATATGAACACTGTCTGTCCTAACAAAGAGGTAGCGGCATTGTATGTTAATAAGAGCTTAGTCCGTGCCTCTGTTTTCTTTTTTAAACAGCTAATGTCTCCATAAAGAGGACCTGTCAGTGTGCCTTTGCTATTATATAGGGGGAAGCGTGACCCCGTCTTTTATATTTTACCAAAAAATGTAGTAATAATAAATGTTTTATCATTTAATATAGGGGAAACAGTTTTTTTTTAAATTCGGTAATTTTTTCTTAAGTAACAAAATAAAAACCCCAGTGCTGATTAAATACCACTAAAAGAAAGCTTTGTCTCCAAAAAATGGTATAAAATTCATTTCAGTACAGCGTTGCATGACGGAATAAATGTCAGTCAAAGTAACGCAGCGCTGAATACTGAAAAATGGCCTGGCCAGGAAGGGGGCTTAGCACCGCGGACTTCAACTGGTTAAAGCAGCACGGGGGGAGAAAAATATTTGTGACTTTAATATCACTTTAAAGAGGAACTAGACCCACCAATTTAATGTCTTCCAAAACAGTTACTTTTAAGGAGCGCCAACTGTCAATGTTGCCAGTGTGCTTATTTCAGCTCTCAACCAAACTTTCAAGCCCTCAAAAAACTGGTGATATAGCTGATCACATGTGCATCACCAAGGCAACTGCAATCCAAATAGAGGCTAAGATGGCACCTTCCTTGGCTATAAAGGATATGAGGGTGTAATTCTGCTATACAGTAATTAGCCATTCTACAGCAGCTGCTTGAAAACATGCTGACATTGCTTGGCTTTCTAAGAAAGACCTGCATAGTTTGAAACAGAGTGTTATAGGTACAGTATATCCTGTAATCAAAGTGCATCTGTTAAATAAGGACCTTTTCCTAAATAAATGAGTATAATATAAAAATACACTCATAAGCTAAAAAAGCAGCAAATTATTACCATTTTAAAATTATATTATTTTAATTTTACTATTTTACATATTCATTTAGCAACATTTTAAAATGCCAGAGCATATAAAAGGCACCAGTCTATTCAGAAAATGCTCCGATCTATCTAAAGGCACCCATATTAAAGCATACAGTAGCTATGCTTATATTGCTAGCCCTCAGCTTTGTTAAGATCATAACATCTAAGAATGCCCTAACATTGTTGGGAATGTTTGGAGAAATACCCAAAAAGTGCCTTAAGCATGGTTAAAATGAGCTTCAATCAATGTATGTTTAAAAACCATCTAGTGAAGGAATTATATACACTGTATTATACTGCATATGCTATCATTTTCTCATCCCCTGTACAACAGCAATCAACCTGGAAAGTGAGGGCAAGCATGTTATGTCAGGCTTTACTGTATGTATATGAACCTACAGTCTATACGAGTGTGAGTGAGTGAGTAAAAGGATGGCCTTATGAGTCCGCTGCTTTTCCTTTATTTATCCAATCAACAAACTGAAAGTGTATCTAGGTTCTGCAGTAGTGCTGCAGTGGAGATCCAGCTATGGTAGGACTAGCTATTGTACTTGGTAACGATGGCTGAATCACAAGACTTACAAAGGATTACAAGACCTTAAAAAAAACAAAACAAAGGATTACAAACAATTTGGCAGGCAAAACAATAGCCACATACCAGTATTTATTTTAACTGTGTATCAATATGTTTGCTTGGAGTTCACTTTTGAACTATAGTCACAAGGAAGAACCAATATACACTAATAGTGTATGTAACATACTCATCTAATTTGGAAAGCGATCATAGTCAGTTTTTTATAATTCGTGTTATAAGCATACAACAGTGCTTTAATATTTTATGATTTGTATGATAACTGCAGCTTAGTGCACTCAAAAGTGGGTCACTGAATTTCTGCTTTGCATGCATTCAACCTCAATAACACCCCTCTGTAGGGGATATATGTAATACTAAAGAAGTAGATCCCACTACTAACCATATATCTATACATGTCTTCTAATACATTTATCACTATTAATAACCATTCATTTCAGATCAGGAGTGTGCACCCTTTAAAGTAGAACCCAAAATGTGGTATCCCTAGGGTTTTACTGCATATGTGATCTCATTGTGTTAGGTTGTGCTGCAAGGTATGTCTCATAGGAACCGGAACAATGCCACAGTAACATATGGATTCTCAACACAAATGTCCATAGAACCTCAAAGTTTTCCTTGAACAAAGATTTTAGTGATGTAAGATGCATTGGGATTTTTCTTCTCTTGTTCTCTGAAGCTTGCAAGAGGGAGTAGCATGCCTCTGTAACATTTGGAACCCCCAGAGGGGGAGATCTGCAGTCCGCTACACTTTTGCTATTTTATTACCTTTGCTTGAAACCTCTAAACAAGAATACCTTTGGAAAATGGGATTTTATTTTACCACATGGGTCATGAAAGTGGTACTCGCCTGCATTTAGTTCTGCAGTAAAAACTCAGATTTGCTTTTGTGCTAGAGTCGGTTCATTTTTTCTCAAATTTTCCATTTTATATTTTTTACCATTTGCTTTAATATTTGGATCTAATTAGGGATGTCACAGGTTGGCTAGAACTATGAGGCTGAGTGAAAAATCACTCACCTCCATAGTTCTCCTTTAAATGATCCGTAGTACAACTACATGTTATGTGCTATGGATCATTTAACCCATTCATGTTAGCAGGGGAGAATTGTAATTCTATTGCTGCAGACTGCAGTGTACTGGACATGTGTACTGTATACAGGTGAAACTCGAATAATTAGAATATCATGCATAAGTTCATTTATTTCACTAATGCAACTTAAAAGGTGAAACTAATATATGAGATAGACTCATGCAAAGCAAGATAATTCAAGCCGTGATTTGTCATAATTGTGATGATTATGGCTTACAGCTCATGAATGATGCAGCGATCCTGCCCAGTGCCGACTACGAGAGGCCCCGTGTGAGGCAACAGGGATAGGAGTGAAACTGTGAGCGAGGGAAGCTGAGACGGGGCTGGCTGTAAATCTATTGCTATAGTGTACTGGACGTGTGTAATGTATATGTAGTACATATATACAGCACACACCTCCACTACACTCCAGCAATAGATTTACAATTTTCCCCTGCTAACATGAATAGGTTAAATCATGATCCATAGTACATAACATGTAGTTGTACTATGGATCATTTAAAGTCACCTGTCCCTTTTTAAAAAATTATCGGTAATTGGTATCGGCAAGTACATGTGTGGAAGTACTTGTACTTGGTCCTGAAAAAGTGGTATCTGGACATCCCTAGATCTAATGGTAGATGTTCATTTTACTGTACCTGTTCTTTACTATGTTCAGCCTCGTCTTACATACATGAAACTTGGTGCTTACTGCATCTAAACATTATGACATACTGTATGTATCTGGTTCTAAAAATATTTAGACCTATAGCTTAAGCTGGCCATACATTCGCCAATCTTGATAAACTAGCTGAAATCTGATTAGTGGGCTACCCTGTCTACTGCCTCTTGCATGACATCCTTCAACTGAGAGATCAATCTTTTGATCATTGATGGGGGGACTTACTGTACACCCAGCTTTAGAGTTCAGGAAATATCTATTTCAGGCATATCAAACTTAGATAAATCAGTGGTCCACATTGACACACTAACAGGAGTATTCACAAAAGGGTGAAGGGTTTGGAGAAGGCAGGAGAAGTGAACAATCTAGAAAAAAAATGGCGGATTTGGAAACATTCTCCAATTCAGCTCACGTTCCAGTTCAGCTATGTTGTCCTAGATTGTTCACTTCTCCTGACTTCTCCAAACTCTTCAGCATTTACTGACTAACCCTGTAAATAGTCAAGGTGGCCACATTATGTCTTCTGAGGGCTGCACCTACTTAATTTCAGAAAAAATGATGGCACTTTGGAATTTAAGATTATTGCAATAATTGTTTTGCACTGTTTTTAACTGTTTTGGGAGACTTTAAATTGGTGAGTAAAGTTCCACTTTAACCTCCCTGGCGGTATTCCCCAGTGCGGCTCGGGGGTTAATTTTCAGTACCAAGAGCGGTAACCCCGAGCCACACTCAGGATTGCGCAAAAGTGTCCAGTGTAAGCCCCACCACCCCAATCTGCTATAATTACATATATTTATCAAACTATTTTACTTCAATTTTGTCCCTAGAGCTTTGTCCAGTGCCCTGCCTGCACTTTTACTGTACTCTATTGACTGTGGTACGGATCAGGCAGCGCCCCCAGAATTCCCATTTTCTGGACCATTTTTTTAAATTATTATATTATAATTTTTTATAATTATTATTTATTATATTATAATTATTTATTATATTATAATTATTTATAATTGTTTATTATATTATAATTTATTATTTTGTTTTTCAAATGTTATCATACCCAGGATGTCTACTGGACTCTTGTTTGGACAGATTTAGTGAGTTATTCCTAAGATTTACTAAGAATTACAGGCCTACAATATAAAACAACAAATTGCCATGAAAAACAATGTACCGCTTTGGCATGCTAAAATCCCGCATAATCAGACCGCCAGGGAGGTTAAAAGATAAGTAAAGCCAAAGCTTTGTTTATAAGCTTTACTGCTCTTTTGGGTCACAGGAGTACATTTACTAATATACTCCTGTGATCCAAAGTCAGCATCTAGTTGGCTAATGTCAGCCATTAGCTGACAGTGCAGTGCTGTGCCACAGTCAGGAAGGATCGCAACAAAACTGCTGTCAGTGTAGAGCTGGCGTATGACAGCTGCAGTGTCCCATGCCAGCTACAAGCAGCGGGGAGAGTATGGTTTGCTCTTCCTGTCTTTAAATCACTGAGGGCCGGAGAGAAGGAGTAAGAGGGTTGCATGCAGGTCCATAAAATACCAGTTTGACATGCCTGATCTAGATGATCGTAATTATAGTGTCCATAGCCTTTGTTGTTTGTTCATGCTTATACACAAGAAACGTTTCATTTCTATCAAGTACTTAGTGAAGCCACAATGTACTAGGACCCATTCCAAATCAATTCAGCATATGCTACATTAAACCTTCCCCATCAGATATATAGGTATTCAGGCACATAAGTCTAATTTTACCTGGCTTAGATTCTGTTCAGAAGCAAAGCCTAGACCATATACTGTGTTGGCTCGACTGTCAGCCCATTGTCCAAACTTCTGTGAGGTTTTAGTGAAGGTCATGTTTGGAGTAATGGTACTGTTGATGATGGCCTGCACAAATAAAATAAGTAATTAGAAGATGTTTCTTTATGCTTTAATGCTTTTTGAATACAATGCATTGTGACTCACCTTGTTGCCCCCCACACTGATGATACGATACACATTTCTTGTGGCATCATAGAAGTAGGACACAGTGGCAGCATGTTTGCTGGCTGGAATCCAATTCTTTTTGGTAACTGGGTCTATCTGAAAAACGTGAGCTCGGGTGCTAAATATGGGTTGTTCCCTGTGAAGAAGAGACGATTACTGATCAGTGATGGTTAAACTGTATGATTACTATGGTAGAGAACACTATTAATTCCCCAAATCAAAATTTTGGACAAATATTACAACACAGAACAGCAAAATGATAATTTTTGCATACAACATTTTTCATTTTATTAATTCATTTTCTTTATAATATTAAACCTCAGTACCTATGTAAACTCAGAAGTATCCCTTCTGACAAATGGTAAATATTAAAATTTACTTGTAGAACAAGAAAAACTATTGTAACATGGGATGCTATTTCTGTGTGATTATTCTGTAAATAACAGTACAGCAAATTGATGTAAATATTGCTCACTGCGGAAAATTTACCTTCTAAAAGCCTACTTAAAGTGGACCTTGAACTAACAATTCAAAGTCTCCTTACTTACCAAGAATCCAAAACTACTGCATTACAATTAAATGTAAAAAAAGTTGGTTAAAAAATAATTAGTTAATATACTGACCCTGGTTCCCACCACTGGCATGTAAGGGAGGGTGACATCATCCTTCCAGCTGAGTAGCCCCAATCTCGCAAGCAGATGCTCCTACGGTACACCATGCTGGAGCATTATCCCGTGAGAGCTATGCTGATGTCACCCTGATGTATGGAAGCTGGAGGTAAGGTACATATAGCACAGTGAACAAGTCATCCCTCTGTTCACTCTGCTATTTCCCTTGGTCACATGTTCCCTGTCAGCACATGTGCCTGTACCCCGGCGTAATTGCCAGCTCTTCCTTGGTCAGTCTGTTTGCTGCTTTACAGGCGATTACAGGAGGCTAATATTAAGACTGGTTACTTGGTACAATAAAATATACATTTCCTGGACGTTCAATGAATGCACCTCTGCATTAGTTGGTGTTTTACATATGACCAAAATTGTAAGCAAGACACTTGAAGACATTCCTATTAGAGGGGGGAAAAGGAATAGCTTGGTCTGTACCTAATTTCACAAAATAATGCATTATATTCAAAATGGAGAATTTCTAGTATTGTTCAAGATTTAAGAAAATAAATTTCTACTTGATAAAGCATTCTTCTAGACCCGTTAAACTTGACAATAAAACTTTTTTTTTTTCTATTAAAACTGCACTTAATAAAATATTTCCTTTAATATTTGTTCAATTTGAGCTCTAACATACAGGATGCCACAGCAAGCCAGTATCTTCCGCTGGGCAATTACCATTGTGAAATAGCATTCTGATTTCAGTGGTATTCCGCACTATTATTTCAAAAGAGCACATCTGCATGCTGGGTTTTCAGCCAGAGTGGTAAATGTGTTATCGCACTGCTGGGAGATCTAGCAGTGACATTTAAATTATGAATAGTTGTAAAGTAAATTGCAATAAAAGAGATATAATGCCTATATTGATTTGTAAGTGCACCGTATCCTGAACTGAGCACTATTAAAAAAAAATGTAGACAAAGAGGTGAAAGCTTGGCAATGGCAAGAAAAAAATAGAGTGCAATAAAGTCATGCGAGACCAGAGAATGACATACTTAATATTTGTTCCTGAGATGGCTATATATGAACACATAATATTCCCCTAATGGAAACAATTTAAAATTAACCTTTCTTTTAAAAAGGTATAAACCCATCAATGCACCATGAAAATCACCCTGGTATGCAAATACTGACTTTACTTCCCAAAGTCGTAGCTTGCCTGCCCCATGGAGGCTAGCTATCTATTACTGAGTCGGTCTATCATCCTTAATCACCACCAAAGGGTGGTGGGGCTTACATTAAAGAAGAACTACTCCAGGAAATGTAAAAATTAGCCCTTGCAAGTGAAGCTACCCCTGCACTGCAAGGGTTAACTGTTTGTTTTGGTCTAGGTGCTAAAATACAGAAAAAATACTCACCTGATCCTCGGTCCTGCAGCAATCAGTGCTTATCATTCTCCCCCTCCACCCTAGTGTTGGCATGTCCCTCTGCGTTCTCACATCTAATGCAGCTTACGACATTCTCACGTCACCGATCCTTAGACCGCTGGAACCTGGGGGCAAAGAGGCTATGGGGATGAGTCTAGCAGCCAAGTGGGACCGAGGATCAAGTGAGTTTATTTCTTTTAGTTTAGTCCCCAAACAAACAAAGGACCAAAACAAGGAAATAACCCTTGCTGTGTAGGGGTAGCCACCCTGCAAGAGTTAATTTTTACATTTCCTAGAGTTCTTCTTTAAAGCGGAACTTGACGCCCAATTTATCTGTTTCCTAAAATAGCTACTTTTAAGGCATGCCAACTGTTAAGGTTGCCCTTGTGCTTATATCAGCTCTGAACCAAACCTTTAAGCCCGCAAAGGACCGGTGTCATAGCTAGTCACATGTGCAGCATCATGGCAACTGCAATCCAAAAAGAGGCTAAGATGTCACCTTTCTTGGCTGTAAAGGATAGGAGGATTTAGTTCTGCTTTAAAAGGTGTATGTGCTATCCCTAAGGATTCCCAATTTACATTACTAATGCTGGTGCACATACGTAGTGGAAATGCTATTTTTAGGTCAATAGCTTTGCCCCGGTTCTACTTTATGGGGTTGTGTATGACCAGTCACATTATTGGGGGGGGGGGGCATTGGGAAAATCCAAAGACTTGATGGACCCAAAATTGATTGTCTCCTGACATCAGGTATAACAGGTCACAACTGGGGGAGGGGTCATTATCTAACCACAAGTACTTTCGGGGCCACGTTGGGTCCCCGTCATCAGGCTCCGAAAGTACTTGTGATTTTGAATGATATATTGAATCTACTTTTGGAGTGCTGGTGACATCTTTTGGTATTACTACTTGACTACACGGTGCCTCCGTGGTCGCTACAAGCACCCTATTACAGACATCATCTCCTAGGAGATCCGGTAAGGAGTGCAGGAAGATACACACAATTATCTAACCACAGGTACCACGGAAACTGTAAAGCTTGTTTAATTTTTATCTGTAGTTCCTCTAACATTTTCTCATATAAAAATGAGGGGGTGGCATTTTTTAATGCTGCATTTTGATTGAATGATACAACTAAAAATTTTGCTTGGCCATAATAGGTCACACATATTCCTGATCAGCTGCTACTGGTTAGATTCAAAGAAGCACATGATCTCTGCCTTACTTCTGTGAGCACAATGCAGTCATTGACATGTTTGATTACATTCAAATGTAATCAAACATCTGCAAGGTAAAATGCTATTGCATTGGAACCTTGCTTGTAGATCAGTTTTATGAATGGGAAAGTGAATGGGAAAGTCGTTCTGGCGTGGAAAAGAGATAAAAGCATTTTTAAATAGTTTTTATTCTAACGTTTTTTCTGTTTTATTAACATTAAAGACTCTGACAAATACTTTCGCAGCAATTTCTGCTATGGGTATATCACATAAATCATGCAAACAGATAAGAAACCTTGGCATGTATACTATATATGTTTTAATTTACTTTTGATAAAATGCCTTTTTCATCATGATAACTGTGTTGCTGCCCTCTTTGCGCTCTTTTACCACCATGGAAATTAATGTTGTATGCCTGCCTACATTTAATTTTAAAGTCACTCTCGGATTTCTAAAAAAAACAAAAAAACTCTCAAAAAGAAGCCCTAAAGGACAACTCTACCTCTAGTACAAGTTGTCCTTTAAGATCTGCCCCCCACCCCCTTCCTGATTACAGCTCACCTGTAGATATACCCTACTCTGGTAGATCCCTAGTGGGCTAATTTCAGCTGCCCCTTTTGCCTTTATTGTTAATGCAGTCCTGACAAGCATAAAAGGTGCCCATACACAAATCCCGCGATCGTACGATAATCGTGCAGTATATGGAAGGCGTGCGACCGTTTCTACTGTATGGTTGCACGACTTTTGTATTTCGAGCATGTTGGAAAACCAGCCGAGAATCGTACGATTTTCGGCTGGTTTTTAGCATGATCGAGAGATAACTGCCGAACGGGCCGGTGTGCGCACGCGCACACTGCCCGTTCAGCATTGCAGTCATCGGAAGTCGCAAGTACGATCTGCCTGTCCAAGATAGGCAGATCGTACGTTTTTTTAATTACTTTACAACCCTCGCAAGAAAAAGTCATGCGAGGGTTGTAAAGTGTATGGCCACCTTTGTGCCTGATTTATGAACACTGTTGCGCACCACAACTCATCCAATTCATTGGGGTTGATTAATTAAAGGCAAAAAGACTGTTTACTTTGCAAGAGAAATTCCATATTGCAAAGGAATTTCACCTTAGCTTAGGGAATACGTTTTGATACTCTGCTGACTTCCATCAACCAATCACATGCAAGAAAAATATCTATTTTTTTAATTTTCCTGCACATGATTAAGTATTCTTTGCATAGTGAATTTTCACTACATTCCCTAAGCAAGTGAAATTTATCTTGCAAAGTGAACCGCTTATTTGCCTTTTGTAAAGGTGTCCATATACCTTACGATTATCGTGCGATAATCGCGGGAAATTCCGCGATCGTACGATAATCGCAAGCTGTATGGAAGGCGTGCGACCTCTGCTACTGTAAGGTCGCACTACTTTTTGTCTTAAGAACATGTTCGAAAACCCGCCGAGAATCGTACGATTGTCGGCGGGTTTGTGGTGTGCTCGTAAGACAAATGCCGAACGGGACGGTGTGCGCAAGCGCATAATGCCCGTTCATAATTGCAGTCATCGGAAGCCCACTGCGGGAAAATGAGGTGCAGTGGGATATGACGGGGTACAATGTGTAAACTGTCATATTTCCATGACATAATTATACCTTATGGCTATGCTGATCTATGGGAGCACTTCTATAATATGTTGAAATCATACTAACAAAATTTGCAGTCAAGAAACTGCAAAAAATTAATTTGGATCAATGAAATACAGCACGAGATAAAACACTCCAATACAGTCTAAGCTAAAGTGCTGTTTAGTTAGATGAATACAGTAGGACGGAAGTCATTATTTTTCTCCCAGAAGAATCAAAAGGAAGGATGGATTGATTAAAAAGCATTCTGTTAAAGGA